GCACTATTTACATTGTTATCCCTATCTTTGTTGTTATATTCGCGACGTTTCCCCAAGTTCATATGGCTCAGTGGATAAAAGTGTTGGTTGAAGCAATCCAAAAGTGACTTGACTCAAAGAGTTGTGAGTTCAATATCTGACAACGGCAGACGCGAAGAAAAATCTTGGAGAGGTGAAGGGGATTAATGGAAACTGAGATAATCCAGAAAGGGCATGTCACGTGGAACTAGAACAATCTACCCACGTGGACTAGATAAAAGGTTAATTTCGAAATTCCCGCGTATATCAATTGAAGAAGGCTGGAGCGTACAACGGCCGAAACATCAGTAATATGACAATAAAGATGAGGGCAACAGTCCGAAGAATATAAATAGCGTTGTTGTCTTATATTTCTTTTATGATTTTCAAAGTAAGACAATGGTAAGCAATAAAAATATGACTAGCGATGGGACCGGGCACAGAAAAAGTGGACATATATAGGTGAAAGAAACATGAAATGTAAGAAATCAAATTTTATTCCAATTCTCAAAGATTTATTTCTTATGAACCATTTCTATGGGCGGCAAAACTGAAATTCTGAGATTGTTGTGTTAAACCCTCATACAATAGAATGAACTCTTCCTCCTCTCATAATATTAGGTTGGTGCAAAAGTAATGACGTAATAATGTCGTTTTTTGACGTTAAAAAATACGTTAAAAAACGACATTATTACGTCATTATTTTTGCACCAACCTAATACTAACTGTGAGAGTCGGTTGAGAGGAATGAGGTAGACGCAGTGCTAACCTGCCGTTCGGACGTACACAGCTATCTACTTATTATTAACACTCTTGCTTTGTGTATATATATATATATATGACGATTGCGTCAGTGTGCGTGACGATTGCATCTAGCATGAAACAGCCTGTCGACTCTAAGTGTTGACTCTCAATGTTCACTTTTATCGGGAAAATAATCCGTGTGTAGATAATCGAAGCAGATCCTATTAAAATAAAATATTAAAACTGATCCACAAAAGAGAGGTCAATATAATTTTTATTATGAAGCATATAATTGAATTACTATGAATGAGCTCCAAACAATTTACCTCATACAGATGATCATTTCGTCCATGGTAATGCAGTTTTACCTGGACTTATCAATGCAAATACATTTACTAAGATTAATAAAACGTTTTCTTCACAGGAAATTTGAAAAGCAATGGAACGATCAATATATATATATATATATATATATATATATATGTGTGTGTGTGTGTGTGTGTGTGTGTGTATGTGTGTGTGTGTGTGTTGTAACATCACATATACTTGACTCTCCCGTCGAATTCGACGTATGAGGGTCAAGCAGATCAGTTCCTGGGAAACCGACAGCCCGACAACAACACATGAGATTTGATTATAGTAGTGAAGGTTTCGTGCAGGACCATCCACACTTTTTGAAGGGACGAATACAGAAACCTGGTACACTACGTGCCACAAGGTCCCCAAACGACCCTCCGCAGGTTTTGAATTCAGAGTTGTTCTTCTCCTTGATCAGTTGCCATTCAAGTCTATAGAACCCAGTCTGTCCTGCTATTTACCCATAGCTGGAAGGAGAAGTAGAGGGTTCATGCCTTTCCTAAGGCTATTAGTACGTAAGTGAATGTAATGGATTCAAATACAAATATTGAATCTTTATCTTATACGGAACCGTCATATAGCCTGATGTGCCTTAACCGATTGAGCCACAGAGGATCTTTCGGTTAACAAGGTCGATTTTACTGCTTTTAAACTACAATCTTCCATGAATCTTTCAAGTACATTCATATCTGTTCAATTGCGTATCCAAATGTAAACAAATGACGTCACACATTATGAAATGGACCAAGTCCAACAATTATTAAAAATAAAAATTTCTCGGACATTCAGGTCGGTAAATGTTATTAATACTGTTTATTATAAACAGAGCATTTACTTAAATATTTGTATCTATAAAAAGAATGTATAAACATAAAAATGTCTTAAAATAATTGTCAGACGTTGTTCATTTCAGAATATGTATATATATATATATATATTCATGATTTAATAATTTACTTCTCCGATTTGCGTACCTGTTTTTCCTTTCAATTAGTATTTTTGAAGTATTTTTCTCACGCTATCTAATGAAGCGCACTCAAATCTTTACAGAGACGAGCTGTAAACAACCTCCGCTAAAATTTGAACCTGAGTTTTCAGATCAACTTCCTGTGTTCCTAACAGTACCACTACTGCCTACTCTCCGCATCCATGACTAATACTCTAAACGTATAGAAACATATTGAGACATGATCCCACATATCTCAAATTAATTTAAATAGCAAAGAGACAGTGATTGTATTGTCATGTTTATCTGTTATGGGAATGTTCTGACCAACTTTTTGCCAACAATCAAAACAACTTCGTCTCTTAGCGTCGAATATGTCGTGCAAGAAGGAATTGATTCGCTGAATACGCGTAAGATATCAGTTAATGTTGAGAGACGGTCTTGTTCTAAACAATCCCTGGTTTTCGAAAGAGTCAGTGGCTTGAAAAGATAGGCCGGCTAAGAACAATTTAGTGCATTGAAGCAAATATTTCTTATTTCGCCATCATTGAATGTTGAGATATTTATTTCAACGTAATCACGATTTTTCCTGTCTGTTTCGTTCGGCGAAAATTAAAACGGAGAAAGATGGATGTTGTACGAGGTTTCACCTTGGAACTGGAACGAAAGAAATTCTTGTCGATTTCGACAGGAATTTTAACAGAGATAAGATAAGATTACCGAAAAGACGAATCAGAAGCTTTCTAAAGACTGGAAAAAAACAAGATTAAATTTGAAATGAGAGAAAAAAAAAGATGTATGAAAAAGAAAAAAGCATTTGAATTGGTCGTAAATATGAAATAAAAAATACATACTAAAACGATGCAAACGATTTGGGGAAAGGGCAAAAGAAAGTCTAATGGTTTGAGAGATTGCTCAGAGTGAGAGATCTCCGTGTTTTTCCATCGAAAGTATGAAAGTGAAAGGTTGTTGCCAAAAACAAAACAGGTAATATAGAACAATGAACACATACTCTAGTATAAAAATGACTGTAATTGTCTTTGTCGGATGTTCCAAAAATTAGATTAAGTGCATTAACAATGATGGAAATTATGGTGATAAATAATTGTGGTTTAAAATAGATGACTTTATCATCATTCAACTACAAACACACACACACACGGATATATATACAGGATGTCCCAAAATAATGTATACAATCTTTAAATATTAATAGTTAATAATATATTACCGTGATATGAGAACTTATATGGATGAACTTGAGGACACATGACAGAGTGGATAAAGGCGTTAGTTAGCTCCAGTGACAGGACCCAAAGGGCGTGAGTTCAATACCTGGTTAAGGCGGTGGATATCTTGGAGAGGGGAATTAACAGGAGATAACCGATAACTGACAACCATTACACATGGCACGAGAAATTAGAAGAGTCTACCCAAGGGAGCGAAATAAAGTGTTCAGTTCGACATTCCAACCACCTGAAGAAGGCCAGAGCATACATCGGCCGAAACGTTGTGATAAATATGGTGACAAAGATGAGGACAATAGTCCGAATAATGTAAATAGTGTACATAATACCTCATGTCAGAAATATAGACAGATACTGATAGGCCGAAACGTTGTGATAAATATGGCGACAAAGATGAGAACAATAGTCCGAATAATGTAAATAGTGTACATAATACGTCATTTCAGAAATATAGACAGATACTGAAGGGCCGAAACGTTGTGATAAATATGGCGACAAAGATGAGAACAATAGTCCGAATAATGTAAATAGTGTACATAATACCTCATGTCAGAAATATAGACAGATACTGAAAGGCCGAAACGTTGTGATAAATATGGCGACAAAGATGAGAACAATAGTCCGAATAATGTAAATAGTGTACATAATACGTCATTTCAGAAATATAGACAGATACTGAAAGGCCGAAACGTTGTGATAAATATGGCGACAAAGATGAGAACAATAGTCGGAATAATGTAAATAGTGTACAAACAAAGAACTGTACCAAACAACAAAAACTGCATAGGAAGAATAGCAAAAATTAAAATGGAAAGCACATATAACACTAAGAGAAAATAATGACATTCCATACTAGTTCAAACAAAAGGCAAGGAAGGAAAACGCCATTAGTACTGGAATGAGTGATAACGTTTAGCGGACTTGAGAAACTTATTTTCTTGAAAATGTATTAAAAAAAATCATAAATTTCAACCGAAATTAGCATTGATTGCTTATTTAATGAATACCAAACGCTTACTTTTAATGGAATAGTTTATATTACTTTTGTAACCTAGGGAATGTTACTGAACACAGTAATCAAACGAAGGTTGGTAATGAACGATAATACTTAGGACAAGAACAACACATATAAGATTCGCCAGCGGCGCGTAGAAATAGTCAATTGCTAGAAGTGTGTCAAGTGAATTCCACAATGAATTTCCAACTGCAGGATATTTAGAACAGTCCCACGCGGTCAGATGTGGCACAAGGCCGAATTTAACGTGGGGTTCCACATATACACCGTATAAAATAGGGTCGGGTAGCTGTTTCCCGAGGTGAGACTCTGCCCTTCGACATAGCCTCGTCTGGTGATCCTCTCTACCCGGAGGCACAGAGTTTGACCAGTACAGCTGGAGACGAGGTATCATTATTATTTTTACTTACGATATTATTACACTAAATTTGTTTGCAACGTGTATTTGTTAGCTTCCAACTCAGTTGAAAGGTCAAGTAGGTATTGATTCAGTTCTTAAAATGATGAACGACTAGTTAGGTAATTTTTTTTTGTGGTGGTGGTGGTGGTGGGTGGCGTAACGTAACTGATATATGGATGACTATAAATGATAAAATCTGATTTTAACCACAATCTAAATAGTATATTTCGAACTTTAACGTACTGTGATATGACGGGCACACATTTTAGTAATTCAGATAATTTTTATACTTCGTTGAATAATGATCCTATTTGAACGGAGAACATTAAAAAAAAATACAAATTTCAGAGAGAGATAGATAGATAGATAGATAGATAGATAGATAGAGAGAGAGAGAGAGAGAGAGAGAGCCGTAACCAAAATGCAGAGATAGAAATTCAGAGTTTTAATCATTCTTGGAATTAATATTTTTGATGGCATTTCCATCTTTTATATTTTCAAATTTTGTCGTGAACAAAATTTTTGCAAGCGTATGCATGGCTGAAAAAGAGAAAGTCTTTTGTGTGTCGTTTTCGATGAAATGAGTGAGAAGAAAGAGAGAGAGAGAGAGAGAGAGGGAGGGGGGAGATTATGTGAAAATGGTAGTGAGCCAGAAAGAATAGAAGTGTAAAGATGAAATTAATAAAAAGCAAATGATGTTGCTTCTTTTCTCACTGATCCTCTTCATCACTCATATTTCAACCTTAATGATTTTGCTCGTTGCTTTTTGCGTTTATCGGTATCCGGCGGCCTTTCACTTTGTTTAAATAATATCATTTATTATGCGACGAACCGGACCTCCATCGACGGCATTGTTTTGCCAAGGAACAGCCCCAAATATTGCTTGACAAACAGCAAGATGCAGGAACTCTTTTTTTTTTATCTCTTTCAAGCCTGCACTCAACTAAACAGACAGACAGCAACATTGACGTTCTGAAATAATAAATCCTTCGTGCAAGTATTTCAAACTGACCGTTCAACTGGCTTCTTTGCTGTTTTCGCTTTTCAAAAATGGCTATATCGTTTCTGCATCGATCAATAAAATGTGCCGTACACAAATCTTGAAAACCTAAGAAATAATTATTTTTAATGATTAGTTGACGCTATTGTAAAAGTAACAAACTTGTTTGATCAATTTTTTTTTCGCATTAAATGTTTATATATTTAGAAAATCATTACATTGCATTTCGAGGTTTAACAATTTTCTAAGCGTAGCTTAGATGTGGCACAAGGCCGAAAGAATGGGGCAGCCAGTAAGGATCGAACTCATTACTCAGTCGTAATTGATCTATCAAGACAAGCTTCCTAACCATTGCACCACACCAAGATGCCCCACTGATTGTCTAAGGGTAGCTTGAATGTAGAACAAGGTCGAAAGTATGGGGCACCCAGTGAGGATCGAACTCACTATCCGGTTGAAATTGTTTTATCGAGACAAGCTTGCTAAACGTTACACCACGCAGATGGGGCTTCATCTCGGGGTTTAGGAGAAGTAAATAGAGACACTAACTGCTGTCAAACATATCTGAAGCAATTTTCATAGAAATCTTATTATATATATATACGGTTAGCGTAACTGCTATCGTCACGGAAAATGATGTCAACTAACTGTGTTCAAATTCTGTTCGCAGTCTTATTTATTCGATCTCTTTAGAGGAAAAATATTAAATAAGGAGTAGATATGTTTGCCTATCGTTCGCTTCTCATTCTTCCTCGTTTTTTTTTTTTTTTTTTAACAGGAGCAGAAGTTTATAATTTGTTTCCTGTTTAGAAATGGGTTTCCGGTTCCTTCTAAAGTCTACTTCAACTCTATACTTCTAACGTCTTCATTTACACAGACATTTTATTTAATGATTTTTTCCTCTATAGGAGTAGCAAGGTTCACCTATCTTTCGATTCGCAGACCTCTTTGGTCTTTCGAACAAGAATAGTACCCCTTGTTTCCTGTTTAGGAATAACTTCCAGTTCCTTCTAAAGTCTACTTCAACTTTATACTTCTATTGTCTCCGCTTAAACACAGCCATTTTATTTACTATTAATTTAGTTTTTTCTCAGAGTAGATAGCGTCATCTATCGTCCAGTTTACACACCTTTGCGGGGTTTGAACACTAGTAGAGGCTTCTTGTTTTTTCTAAAGCCTACTTCAACTCTGGAATTCGAACTCGGCTCTTTTATTTCTATTTCTGAACCGTTAACAGCTGCACTACCCATACATTCACGCGCAACTACACGTTATTCAATTATCTATAGATTAAATAGTAGTGTAGACTGGCTACTCTAGCCTTTGGTGCTATCGCTATCTTTCTCAAGAAGTTATGGTAATTCACAGATTTCAGGAAGTAGGCATGATGGTTCTCCCCACGCTTCTTCTCATTAAAAAGAGAAGAAGCGTGGGAAGAACCATCATGCCTACTTCCTGAACGGATATGACATTTAAAAAAAAATCTCGTACAAATGTTTTGTCAGTCAAGTAAGATTTTTGAAAAGGAAAACAAGGCGGATCTATCAGTCGATGACAGGAGAAAATAAATCGTTCCATTTTTCACGAGAAAAAAAGATTCTATTCCTTCTTCGACTAGCAAAATCAAATGTCTTCTTTAGCATTTCGATGTGGCTTCTCTACAAATATTTTCATGGCAACTACTTTGACGAGCTATTTTCATTGGTACCCCAACTGGATGAATTTAAGCGTGCTACTAGGTTTGGCATCTAGGTCCAACCCTTTCACTGTCGAAACGGTTAAATGTGACCGCCTCTTCTACTCCAACAGCTTCTTCTCACGCACTTCCCAATCTCCTGATACCTTGATCGTGATCCCCGGCTATCTCTATATCCTTTTCCTCAAACACCTCTTTTTAATCTTGCCCTCACTCTCTGTAACCCCTTGCGTGCTAATGGCACTCTTGCTTGGGGTGAAATGTTTAAAAAATCTGTATATAGAGGGTTAGTAGATACTTATTTTGTCTAATACAATGCAAATGTTATGCAAATAGTCATTATGCTGTGGGTATGAACAAAATGGTGAGAAGTCGAGGAAAAGCCGAATTTTTATAGAATTCAATTTTCTCGTAAATTTTCATGTCGTTTACGTCGTAACGTTCACGTTAGTAACAAGAATGATTGGATAAAATTCTGACTTAAAATCATCAGCCCCACTCTATAGAGCAGAAGATAACGTAATAGTGTGAGTAGTTGTTTATTTGTAAACAAAATTAACTTAATGGATGTGAGGCTGGCTTACCGGATACCTGCACAGAATAGTGAAATAACCGGCTGAGTTGAAATTCCGTTCGATTCTGTATCGTTTATTTCGTCTTAATGTCTTTTAAAAAGGCATGAATTGATTTTGCTTCATATACCTTCTTTTAGCCAATCTAGGAGAAGAAACAACCCTGGATAAAATCTAACCTGAAATAAGTTGGTCAAGTTCTTTAGTTTGAGACATATCACAGCCGCTATGATCTTAACGGCTTATGGGTCTTATGTAATCAAAATCCATAATTTGCATTGTTTTAGCGTAAAAACATAACAAATTATAAAATTCTCCTCATTAAGTTTTTAATCTGTACCACTCTATGAAAGGCAATAAAGCCACTAAGACACAAGGAGTTACTGGATATGGAAGAATTAGGAACAGAAACATTAATAATGAGCAGGAAGAGAAAAGAGTAATTTGTAGATAGCGATTGATATTGTAAATTAAATTGTAGCAGAGTAAATTTGGCTGAATGCATGGAGCAGGAAGAGTGTTCCACAAGCAAGAATTGCGAGAAAAGAAACTGTTAGCATAGAACTTAGGGCTACATGTAGACAGCTCAGTTGTAAATTGATGAGATCTCGACGACACTCTAGTAATGTGCTTAAATTCAAAAGTTTGGGTACCATAGCGAAAAGCGATATTTTTTAACGGTTATTTAAATACGCATATTTATTTGGTCTCTGTTTTCTGACAACAATGAAAAACTCTCATTTTGCGTAAAAGACCCATTTCAAATTCTACTATAATAATCGTTTTCCCAAATACGTTAAAACTGTAGTGAAATAAATAAATATTTTAATCTTTTACTGTGTAAAGACATAATTTCTCACGTCTATTCTTTGTATTTCATAATTTTCATGTGTCTCAGCGGTTTTTTTTTATTTCTCCATGATATTCCACCATGTTGAATTTTTGGAAACAAAATATTCAGCAAAAAAATGTAAAGTTAATAGATATTGTAAACATCTAATAGATCGAGCGTGACTAACAGTCACGTGTTTCTTTTATTTATTTATTTTTATCTGACTTCATCTTCAATGTTATTTTTCTTTTTCTTTTCTGGAAATTTCCAGCATCAGAGCCTTTGTTGTAGAAACACCAAATGAACGACAATGTCTGAACAAATGTCACCATTTTCAATGTTTACGGCTTCGTTTGGATCCGACCGTTATTTTCCATTTAAACTGAGTAGCGATACGTTTTTTTTTTTAAAGCAAAAACAAAAAAAAAAACTTTTCTTATACGAACATTGCGTTCATAATATACTGAAACAAATACATTTCCCCGTAATGAAAGGTGTGGAAAATATTGTTTTCCAACTTGTTTATTAAAACCGTCTCGTCAAGAAACACAAAGCATTTAATGGGCTAAAATTCCATCAGATTCGAGAAATAATCGATCTAAAAATGATCACACTACCAATTCTCTTTACACGATTTACATTATTCAGAGTATTGTCCTCATCTTTGTCGCCATATTTATCACGTTTCGGCCGTTGTACGCTCCGGCCTTCTTCAGGTGGTTGGAATGTCGAACTGAACCCTTAATTTCGCTCGCTGGGGTAGGCTATTCTAGTCCCACGTGCCATGTTTAATGGATGTCAGTTATCAGTTATCTCCTGTTAATCCCCCTCTCCAAGTTCTCCACTACCATAACCAGGTATTGAACTCACACTCTTTGGGTCCTGTCACAGGATCTAACCAACGCCTTTATCCACTGTGCCATGTGTCCTTTAAGAAACGTTGTAATAAATATGGCGATAAACATGAGGACAATAGTCCGAATAATGTAAATAGTGTACATAAAACCTCATTTCAGAAATATAGACAATTCTATTTAATCCTTTCCTTAACATTAATAGAATCTATAGTAATGAAAGAATTTATATGTAGCTTATATATGCAGTGACAGTCATGACATTGTTAAAGAAAAACAGGTAAGATACTTTTCACCGTTTGACTGATGCGAAATCGGTCGAGATTTCGATCCTGGTTTGAAGCAAACGAACGTCTAACCACACTGATGAACTGTAATAAAGCGACACATGCTTGTATGTGGATGATTATTTATGCTCTTGTTCGTCGATTGAGCACTGTAGAGAAGGGAAATTTTCAGCAGTGGCTGCTCCTGCTATTAACGCGTCACTCTTCAGTTATGAATTGAGCGCTCTTGGCTCATGATTTAACGTTTGTATACATCACGTATATAATGCGTTAAAATAACTCTCTTTCTCTACCGTGCGCCGATAGCTCAGTGGGTAGAGTCTCTGACTGATGCCAAATCGGTCGAGTCTCAATCCCGGCTTGAAGCAATCGGATATCTAGCAACACTGATGAGCTGCGATACAGCGAAATAGGCCTGTATATGGATGACTATAATCATACTTATTATAAAACCCAGGTTGTGTGTGTGTCTGTTCGTTTATATATTGGATCGGATTTTCTACATTTTTCAACCGATTTCAACAAAACTTCACAGGACTGCGTAAAATTATCTTGCGGTGGTTCTGACAGCGCCCAAAATTGGAAAAACACAATTGTTTTTGCACGAAATCAATTTGAAAACACGATTAAGAGGCATCACTGTCGCGAGAATGAAAGGGGGACAACTCATATCGAGTTATACTTATAAAACCCAGGTTGTTTGTGAGTGTGTGTGTTCGTTTATATATTGGAACGGATTTCCTACATTTTTCAACCGATTTCAACAAAACTTCACTTTTTTTTGGCAGGTAGTGTTTCTTATTGTCTTGCACACTTTTTTCTTTATTTTTACATTCAGAATGCTTTAAAAATTCCATTTACAAGACAATTGTTTATAATAAAATTCTATTCAATCGGTAGACTCATAACGTTTGAAAACAATGTTTTTGTTTGAGTTTGGGTTTGACCAATTCGTAAAAAAAAAAAAAAAAAAAAAAAAAACTAATTAAGACATGCGTGTCCGTCAACTTTAAACAATAATCTTTGTCAATTTTATTTTTCAGTCTTTATGATGGTCGATACTTGATCTATCTCTTACTGTTACGTCCCCGGGCAACGCCGGGCTCTACTGCTAGTATTCTTTATATATAAAGAAAATAATGTAACATGCAAAATTTTCTCTTTTTTTTTAATTCTTTCAATAATATATTAAATAATTTTATGTTTTTAATTGGCAGATTTTTAAAATCATCATGTACTTGGAATATTTTGCCAGGAGTTGCGTCTTGTGATTTAAAAAAAAAAACTACACGATATTAAGAAATTTTCTAAGCAAAACTCTTTTTTAAAAAAAAAAACAATTGCGACATTCAGTATTTACGCATTGCCAAAAATGTATTTGCAATGGCTCTTGCTGTTATTTGATTCACGATTTCCTTTTCAACAAATACGTTTTTCTTTTACACCATTAAAAAGAATACGCTACTTCCACAACATAAGCATTGCAATGAAACATTCCCGTGGTCATTATTATTATTATTATTATCGTCGGGTGAAGATGTTTAATTTCAAACCATTTCCATTCAGGATTTCCAAATCTGCTTCAGTGAGTTCTTCTTGCTCGTTATCCACTATAATTAGTCAAATAGTCAATTTGACTAATTAGTATAATTCGTCTAATTACAGCGATGAGCGTAACAGTTGGTCTGATGAGTTAGTCTAATTACTTTTAGCTTTCAATTATTATAACTTTGCTCCTTGCTTTTCGCATATAGACGACGACATATTGATTATCATCAGAAACCTCTATACCTGAAGCCATTTACACCAGCAACGAACTTGAACGACCTCATTCCATGAATGGAGATTTTAATATTCAATTAAAAGAAAAATAGTTTTCATGGAAATTTGTCGATTCTCTTTTGCATTTCACTTCCGCTTCCGGTTTTGCTATTACTTGAGATGTTTTTCTTTCGCAGAGTCGCTTCATCTTGCTTTGTCGACTCCCCTTCCAAGTTTCGTTAGAGCGCAAATTTGTTTAATTTCTTCTCGTTTCATGACTGAGTATTAAAAGAAAGATGGTAGAAGGTATAATGAAAGAATGAAGAAGGAACTGCGCGGGAATGAATAAAAAAAAAAAGATCATGAAATCCAAGAGAAAAATAAAAAATATAACTAGTGAGTGAATAGAAGAAATGAATATACATTTATTTCAGTCATTATGCAACAACAACAACAACGATAATAATAATAATAATGTAAAAGGCACGAGAAAAGAAAAGAGAAGAAATAAGAGAACAAAGTCATAGTCTGTTTGAAGCAGGAAAGAATAAAATGAAAGCGACAATAAGAAAAAGAAAATTGCATATGGAGGAGATTGATTCGAGAATAGGGGAGATTTGAAAGTAAAAATATCATTTGTCAAAAGTGAAGATGAATAAGAAGATAGATTGAAAAAGAAAGAAGAAAAAAGAAGAGACAGATTCAGGAAGAAGAAGCAAGACTAGAAAGAATATTATTCCTAAAAAAAGAAGATTGACAAAAGTATGTACTTAGAAGAAATAATCAAAAGAAGCAAACGTTACCGAAGAAGAAAAAAAAAGGAAATGATTCACTGATTTGTTCTCTTTGGCCAATCAAGCTTTTGATGATTATTTAAAGCCCAAAAATAGTTTTAAATTATAAGAATTTTTTTTTAGATGAAAATGATTTAGTGATACATTCACTTACGTGCTAATACACTTGGGAAAGGTGTAAATCCTCTTCTTCTCCCTCCAGCTATGGGTAAATAACAGAACAGACCGGGTTCTATAGCCTTGGATGGCAACTGGTCTAGGAGAAGGAAAACTCTGAATTCAAAATCTGTGGAGGGTCGTTTGGGGACCTTGTGGTACGTAGTGAACCAGGTCTCTGTAATCAGGCCCTTCAAAAAGTGTGGATAGGCCTGCACGAAACCTTCACTACTATAATCAAATCTCATGTGCTATACATGCGGGTTGGTGACCGCTTGTGAATTCCAAATTCCCATGAAACTCCAATATTGGAGCCGGCTCAACCCACCTCGGGTGAATGTCGTTACAAGAACAATAGAGAGAGAGAGAGAGAGAGAGAGAGAGAGAGAGAGAGAGAGAGAGATACACGTCTTACTATTTAACCCGTAACTGGAGGGAGAAGAAGTGGATTCATAACTTTTCACGGGGTATTTGCGCGTGACTATAACGAACCCAACTGGAATTGGAACTTGGCCCTCTTTTTAACAATTTCGAGTCATTATCCATTACATCACACAGACATCGATGCGTATAGCACCTGGTATCCCCAATCAGTCACCCATCTAGATACTGGCCAGACTCGATGTTGCTTAACTTCGGTGATCGTACGGAAACCAATGTTTCGATGTGATGTTGCCGTAAGAAAACGAAAAAGGCGGGAATAGAGGAGAAATAAAATGCGTATAAATTAAATGCAAAATGAGACGAAAAGCGAGAGGTAGAAATAAAAAAAAGGGAGGGCGATGAATATACAGAGCGGAAGATGAAAAAAGGGAGATGATTAATTAAAAGGGAGGGGGGGGGAAAGGGAGAGGATGAATAAACAGGGAAGAGTAAGAATAAAATGGGAACAGGTGGAATAAACAGGGACGGTTGAATAAAAAGACAAATTTAATGAAGAAAAATATGAAGAAGTAGAAGAAAATAAGAAAGATGGAGAGAAAAAAAAGTGTTGGTAAGAAAAGACTTAGAAATAAGTTAAAAGGATTAAATATAAAACAAACCAGAAAATACAACGAAAAAGAAGAAGAAAAAGAAGAAGAAGAAAAAGAAGAAGAAGAAAAAGAAGATAATAATAATAATAATAATAATAATAATAATAATAATAATAATAATAATAATGATAAGGAGAAGAAGGGGAAGATGAAAACAGGAAGGAGAAAAGGAAGAAAAAGGGAAGAAGAAGAAGGAAATAATAATAATAATAATAATAATGAGAAGAAGAAGAAGAAGCGGAAAAAGAAAAAGGAAGGAGAAAAAGAAGAAAAAGATGAAGTAGAAGAAGAAGGGGAAGAAGAAAAAGGATGGAGGAAAAGAAGAAAAAGATGAAGTAGAAGAAGAAGGGGAAGAAGAAAAAGGAAAGAGAAAAAGAAGAAGTAGAAGAAGAAGGGGAAGAAGAAAAAGGAAAGAGAAAAAGAAGAAAAAGAAGAAGTAGAAGAAGAAGGGGAAGAAGAAAAAGGAAAGAGAAAAAGAAGAAAAAGATGAAGTAGAAGAAGGGGAAGAAGAAAAAGGAAGGAGGAAAAGAAGAAAGGGAAGATGATAATAATAATAATAATAATAAGAAGAAGAAGAATAAGAAGAAGAATTGGGAAGAAGAATAAAGGAAGGAGAAAAAGAAATGTAAGAATTAGAAGAAGAAGAAAGGGAAGAATTAGTAGAAAAAGAAGCGGGAATTCAAAGAGAAAAGAAAAAATGTATGAAAGTGAGAAAGTAGAATCAGGGGAGGGGGAAAACCTTAAAAAAGGATAACAAAGAAAGAAAACTGAATGAAAGGAAATCAGATTGGAAATAATAAAGCAAAAGAAAGATAAATTCAACAAATCCAAATAATTACTCGTCTCTCGAGTACACATTTTACTTTATTTATTTGTAAAGTTTTTCAATGGAAATAAAAAAAAAAAAAAAAGACTTTGAAAAACGTTACTTCGGAAGGAAAATTGCACGTGTCTTTTGTTGCGAGCAAATAAAACTGCATTTATAAATATTTACGTGTATATTTAAAAATGGAAATTGCTTGGTAACGTGACTTTAATGACTCAAATTTTAGTCCTATACAAATGTGCTGCTCCGGAAAACAGCGATGCACACACACACACACCCATATATATATATATATATATGAAACGAGTATAGTTACCTATATATATATATATATATATATATATATATATATATATATATATATATACGTATGTGTGTGTTTATGTATGTGTATTTATTATATATATATATATATACATATATATACATCTATATATATATATGTATATATATATATATATATACATACAAATACATACATATTTGTGTTAGTGTGTTTGTCTATATATGTGAGAGTGAAAGAGTTCAAACGGTTATTTTAATGGCTTTCGTAAATGTGTATATGCTATGACTTGCCAAAGAAAATGTTTTCATGAAAGTACGTACACACCTATATACTTTATATATATATATATATATATATATATATATATATATATATATATATATTTCACACATGCCTGCATCAATTCTTCAAAGAACTTTATGCAGAATGGAACAACATCTGATATGATAAATGTTAAGTTGACAACCCAATCCACATCAGCTGCAATTGTAAAATTAAACATGTTTGTGCTAAGGGGACCTGAAAAGCGAAACGGAATCATTTGTATAATCAGGGTTATATGAATCGCAATGACTTTTTTTAACCATTTCGCCCCAAGCAAAGCAATTAAGCCAGTAAGACGCAAGGGTTTACTTTGAGTGACGAAGAGAAAAAAAAAGTAGACATTATTAAGAAGAGAAGCAAGAAGCCGGAAGAGAAAAATGAAAAATTCGAGAGAAGAAACTATTTGCGAGAAACTTACGGTTGCATCTATCCAGTTTAACTATAAATTGATGAGACTTAGATTCTAATCTATTAATGCGCTTAAATTCGTAAAGTCTAGTTACCATAAAGGAAAGTAGTATTTATTTTGCTATAACATAAAAATGCGGCACAAGGCCAAAGCGGGAGGGGAGGTCTGATCTTTAATCCGTCTTATCTTAAACCTAGCCACGATTATTGACGCAAATATAGCACAGTATTTCTTACACCAAAACACCACATTCTTACTTACTATTTTTACTACAGTCACCATAATACCTCAGAGTCTCTATGTAGTCCTAACTAGTTTCCATGTGTACATTTTGCTGTGACTTGGGGTAGGAAACAAAAATAATAACATTTAAAAATGAAACCTAAATTAATATTTACAATGAATACAATTTATATACAAGAAACTAAACAAAATAATATTAGTAATAAAAACAAAACACTCCAATCCTTAAATGTGAGAGAAAAATAGAGTTCATCAGAACATTTAACATGAAAGAATTTATAGAAAAGGCACAAGGGATAGGAGCAATGTTACGGCGATTTGAAAGTCCTTGAAGCTAAGATGCCAGTTCAGGACTAATAACATTGCAGATTCTTCTTTGGATTTTATCAAGAATCTCTAAAAACAAAGCAGAAGCATCAGACCAGATGTGACAGCAATATTATTGAATTACATTAAAATTACATTAAAGATAAAATAGGCGAGACCCCAAAAGATAAGTATATGAGAAAGCTAAAATGAAACAATCACTAATAAGAAATAAATTTCCGAAATCTTTTCTTCTTCTCCATATTCTAATTAATATTTATCATTTGTCATTCATTAACAGGAGGTCATCAGGTAGGTTATTTGCTGTTTCCTTCTCATTCTCTTAACTTCAGAATATATTGTGAGTGTCAAATTTTCCGAGCCTTTTTTTCTTATTATGTACCACTGAAATTTCTGCGATTTTTATTCGCAGTTTCCTTAAAATTTGTTCGTTACTAACATGTTCCGTCCACAGTATTCTCAGCATCCTTCTGCAGAGCCATATCTCTATTTCCCCACGTCTTTTCTTCATCTGTGGGAATATTGTCTAACATTCACTGCCATAGAGCAGAATTGTTATTAAATAGCATTTCAACACTCTTTTTGTTTCTAACAAAGTTTCCTTGTTCCTTAATACAAAGCTTAGATTCTGGAAGGCATCTTTCGTTATTCCAATGCGACTTCGGATTTCTCGGTCACATTTCTGTAGTTATATTATAGCACTTCCCATATAGTTACATTTCTGTATTGTTTGATTTTAACATCTATATGTACATCGTATTTTGGGCTGTTTATCTTGCTACCTATATATTCTGTCTTCTTAGAATTGATAGTTTGTCCTTTCTTCTCCCTTTCCATTATTACCTTGTCTAGGATATTTTCTGTGTTTGCCAATAACACGTTGACATCAACGTAATCTTATGTTGTTAAGATTGTACCGACCGATAATAAATCCTGGCAGGACTTCTACTTCTCCCAGGATCGCCTCGCTGTATAGGGTATCCGTGTCTGTCATCAAACGTGCATTCTACATTTCGTATAAACCCTGTTAGAAGACGCATCCTTGTTTTACGTTCATTTCCGTTTTTTGTACTTGTTCAATTCATTTTCTAATCGTATGTCAGTAATTATCTCCCAGTAAATGTTCTTGATTATTCTCATATCTTTCGTAGGTTTTAAAATGTACGAAGTAAATTAGAAAAACACATAAAATGCAATTCACTTAGAATAAATGACCTTTGACCATACACTAAGAGCTCTCTTTGTGAAGTGAAAAGAGAGAATTCTTTAAGACACTGAAATTTAAACGGATAAGCCAATTAACAGGTGATTTTGTTTTTGCAGAACACAGAACCTAAGACAGTTATTCTGGATAATCATCAGAATTTATGAAATATGTGCAAACGTAATTTTCATACCGATTAATAAAGACACGAGTCCAAATCTAATATTATATAGTTTATTCAACTACGGATTTCGTAAACTATGTCGGGTGTGTAGACTTCAGTCAGTGGATTCTAAATCTCTCAAGGACGTGAAAGAATTATTTTCCCCCTCAGGTGGGTGTTTATATATCTACCTGTCATTTGTTTTTTTTCACACTCGGACACAATTAATGTACAGCTGGATCGACAACTGACATTATCTGAGGCCCGGATTTGCACCTGGTAGTAAGGAGCTATTTTTCTAGTCAACCTGCTCATAGACGTGGCTTTGATTGTCTCGAGTGACACTGAGTGCAAGGTCTATTCTGGTACCATCTGAGGTGATGTTGGTGGGGATAATCGTATGTCAATCTTTTCCAGAATAAAAGTTAATATAAACAGCTATCTTATATTTCCTGACGTGAATCCTGTTCTATATATGGAAATAACTGTCCTTTGCGGTGTTTGGAATGGTCCCCAATGCGTTAGTGGAAGAGTTGGAAATCGTAAGAATCATTGATAGTCATCTTGTTTCGTTTCATTTGTTTTACAGCTTAGCATATCTTTCACCATTTCCAGTAATGGTGGCCGGGCTAAACGCGAATAAGGTCGAGCTTATTTTGTCGATCACTCTAAACGATTTACTTCCGCAAACGTTTAATTTTCGAAATAAGCATGCAAATTCATCACCAGAATGGAAAATTTCATTACAATTGGTTTCCAGGGCTTAAACTGCAAATTTAACTATTTTCACCATTTCTACTTTATACACGTTTTCGCCAAACGAACTCCCGTCATTATATACTTAGCTTTTGGAAGGCATCTTTCGCTATCTCAATGTGCCTTTTCCTTTGTTTCTAACGAAATTCTCCTTTTTCTTAATACTTTGCTTAGCTTTTGGAAGGCATCTTTCGCTTTCCAATGTGCCTTTTTCCTTTGTTTCTAACGAAATTCTCCTTTTCTTAATACTTTGCTTAGCTTTTTGGAAGGCATCTTTCGCTTTCCCAATGTGCCTTTTCCTTTGTTTCTAACGAAATTCTCCTTTTTCTTAATACTTTGCTTAGCTTTTGGAAGGCATCTTTCAACTTTCAATGTGCCTTTTTCCTTTGTTTCTAACGAAATTCTCCTTTTTTCTTAATACTTTGTTTAGCTTTTTGGAAGGCATCCTATCTCAATGTGCCTTTTCCTTTGTTTCTAACGAAATTCTCCTTTTTCTTAATACTTTGCTTAGCTTTTGGAAGGCATCTTTCGCTATCCCAATGTGCCTTTTCCTTTGTTTCTAACGAAATTCTCCTTTTTCTTAATACTTTGCTTAGCTTTTGGAAGGCATCTTTCTTTCAATGTGCTTTTTCCCCAATGAAATTCTCCTTTTTCTTAATACTTTGCTTAGCTTTTGGAAGGCATCTTTCCTTTAACAATGTGCCTTTTCCTTTGTTTCTAACGAAATTCTCCTTTTTCTTAATACTTTGCTTAGCTTTTGGAAGGCATCTTTCGCTATCTCAATGTGCCTTTTCCTTTGTTTCTAACGAAATTCTCCTTTTTCTTAATACTTTGCTTAGCTTTTGGAAGGCATCTTTCGCTATCCCAATGTGCCTTTTCCTTTGTTTCTAACGAAATTCTCCTTTTTCTTAATACTTTGCTTAGCTTTTGGAAGGCATCTTTCGCTATCCCAATGTGCCTTTTCCTTTGTTTCTGACGAAATTCTTTTTTTCTCCTTTTTCTTTTAATATCTTTCCTTTATCCTAATGTGCCTTTTTTTGTTTCTAACGAAATTCTTTCCTTAATAGGCATCTTTCGCTATCTCAATGTGCCTTTTCCTTTGTTTCTAACGAAATTTTCCTTTTCTTAATACTTTTTAGCTTTTTGGAAGGCATCTTTCGCTATCCCAATGTGCCTTTTCCTTTGTTTTTCTCCTTTTTTTTCTTAATACTTTGCTTAGCTTTTGGAAAGGCTATCCTTTGCCTTTTCCTTTGTTTTATTCTCCTTTTTCTTTATACTTTGCTTTAGCTTTTGGAAGGCATCTTTTTTCCCAATGTGCCTTTTCTTTGTTTCTAACGAAATTCTCCTTTTCTTAATATTTCCTTTTTCTTTCTTAATACTTTTTGTTTCTAACGAAATTCTCCTTTTTTTCTTAATACTTTTGCTTAGCTTTTTGAAGGCATCTTTCCTTTATCTCAATGTGCCTTTTCCTTTGTTTCTAACGAAATTCTCCTTTTCTTTTCTTAGCTTTGGAAGGCATCTTTCCGCTATCCTAATGTGCTTTTTCCTTTGTTTCTAACGAAATTCTCCTTTTTCTTAATACTTTGCTTAGCTTTTGGAAGGCATCTTTCGCTTTATCCCAATGTGCCTTTTCCTTTGTTTCTAACGAAATTCTCCTTTTTCTTAATACTTTGCTTAGCTTTTGGAAGGCATCTTTCGCTATCCCAATGTGCCTTTTTTTCCTAACGAAATTCTCCTTTTTTTAGCCTTTTGCTTAGCTTTTGGAAGGCATCTTTCGCTATCCCAATGCTTTTCCTTTGTTTCTAACGAAATTCTCCTTTTCTTAATACTTTGCTTAGCTTTTGGAAGGCATCTTTCGCTATCCCAATGTGCCTTTTCCTTTGTTTCTCCTCCTTTCTTAATACTTTGCTTAGCTTTTGGAAGGCATCTTTCCTTTATCTCAATGTGCCTTTTCCTTTGTTTCTAACGAAATTCTCCTTTTTCTTAATACTTTGCTTAGCTTTTGGAAGGCATCTTTCCTTTTCCCAATGTGCCTTTTCCTTTGTTTCTAACGAAATTTTTTCCTTTTTTCTTTATACCTTTTGGAAGGCATCTTTTCCCAATGTGCCTTTCCTTTGTTTCAAACGAAATTCTCCTTTTCTTAATACTTTGCTTAGCTTTTGGAAGGCATCTTTCCTTTGTTTATCTCAATGCTTTTGGAAGGCAATGTTTTCCTTTGTTTCTAACGAAATTCTCCTTTTTCTTAATACTTTGCTTAGCTTTTGGAAGGCATCTTTTCCTTAAACGAAATTCTCCTTTTTCAATGTGCCTTTTCCTTTGCCTTTTCCTTTGTTTCTAACGAAATTCTCCTTTTTCTTTTCTTAATACTTTGAAATTCTCTTAACTTTTTTTTTTGGAAGGCATCTTTCGCTATCCCAATGTGCCTTTCCTTTGTTTCAGAAATTTCTTTTTCTAATACTTTTCTTAGCTTTTCATCTTTTCTTTTCCTCTGCTAAAAAATTCCGAGATATTAAAATTTTCCTTTTTTCGTCTTCTTAAAAAAAATTCCGAGATATTAAAATTTTTGTACTTGTTTTATTTTGGCGTCCCCAATTCACAGTTCGCATGTTGAGCTGCTCCTTTTACTGACAAACATACTGTTATATAGAAATAATGTGTCGCTGTCGACACTGGAGTTTGAACACAGATCACCAGTGAGCAAACACAGGTGATTCCATTTCTAATAAGTAGACCACGTGATCGTAAAGGAAACGTACATATGGGAATTAGCGTGGCGTCTAACAGATCCCCATTTCTAGTCTATCTTCTATTACTATACGAATCGCTGTTCCCTATAGTATTCCCTGTACGAATTCACTATAATATTCACGATACTATTTCTCTATACTTTTAATATTCGGACCACTATTCGGTGGTTACTTTTCAAGCGAGCACTATAAGTGCGAGTGTTATGGTTTGGTTTAGTTTATTTTGTTTTATGGCATATCAACCTCAATGGGTTATTTAATGTCGGCAAAATTTTTATTTGCTGGTAATATGTTTTTCTTCAAAAATCTATTTCTGGGAATATTTTTCCTTGAAGAAATCTATAGCTGGTCATATTTTTTTCAAAGAATGTATAACAGTTTGTATTGCTATTTTTTTTTTTTTAAGTATTGCTGATAATAATTTTTCCTTCAAAAATTATTGCTGGCAACAGTTTTTTTATTATAAAGTATTTCTGGTATTAAAACCTATTTTTGTAAAAGTTTGGGTGTTAACTATTTGCCCATAGCTGGGACCCTAACAGGTGCTACTACCCCGGGTCAGGGTAAACCTCGGAACAGCAGCAATTAAGAAGTGATTCTACGCTCCTCAAACCTCCTGATCAGAGGCCTTGCTGTTGGACGTAGTTTATCGTCTTATCCAGGACGTACGAGTGACACCCGTATTGTTCAACGGCGTTACTATAGTTGTAACTGCAATTACAAAGTCTCTACTACAACGAGCATTACGATAGTGACACCGAGTATTCGTTGAAATCACAAAAGTATATTAAAGCTGTTAGCCGTTTTGACATCACAAAAAAGGAAAATATTATGAAAAATCTAAAACAAATAAATATGATCTTTTCTCGTTCAGGTTTAAAAATATCCCAAATATTTTACAAGAGACTCTCTATAAATCTATTCGTTTGGTACGTTTTTCTCAAGATTTAGTTCTGAAAACATACATTCTAAGTGTGGAAATTGTTATATGAGAATAAAGTGTTTCGGCCGAAACTGTTGTTTGAACATAGATCGCCCGATAACAAACACAGGCGATTCCATTTTGAATAAGTAGATCACATGTTAGTAAAAGAAATGTATATTTGAGAATTACCGTGGTGTCTAAGGGGTCACTATACGGATTACTATACGGATCACTATTCGGTAATTGCTATTCGAGCGAGTATTATCGAGCAAGTACTATTATTACGAGTGATATTCGAAGGCGTCTGACACCAGTATTGTTCAACGGCGTTACTATAGTTGGATCTGCGATTACAAAGTCTCTACTACAACAGGTATTACGAAAATGACAATGTGTATTTATTGACATTACAAAACTAGCAACGAGTGTTCGTTGACATCACAAAACATACATTCTGTGTTCTTATAATTTATGTTTAGTTCTAAGATATTACTTTCCATTACTACCTCCTGTAGGAATTACTGCAGTTTCATTGCTGTATCTGCTATCAACATAATGTGGCATCTGTATATCTAATATTGTTCCGATTGTGGCTGCCAAAAAAGGAATCCTGGCAGAACTTATAATTCTCTCAGGATTGCTATACTGCAATAATAGTTCTAACTGTAGTCGTTTGGATTTTGAAGGACTTTGCCAAACAAAACATAAGAGTTATATAGACGTTTCGTTCCTTGTGAACGGAGAAATGGTTTAATTTAATGGCTTTCCCAATCTTCCGGAAAATTCAAACATACTTATCTTCCCATGAATAAGCAGCTGTTTACTTTGTATAAACCAGAGAATGGTTACTGTGTGCGCAGTTCTGAGATTATTGTTTACAAGGACTTTTTGGCAAACGCATATCACGTCGCCTAAAATCACATGATGAAAGGAGGGAAACATAAATCAAGAACGAGTGGGGAAAAGGAAGAATGGGAAATAAAGGGAGAAAGAAGAATAAACATGGAAGCAGTAAGGAAAAGAGTAATGATGATGATGGTGAAGAAGAAGAAGAATAAGAACAAGGAGAAGGAAGAAGAGGAAATGTGGAGAAATAAGAATAAAGAAAAGGATAAAGAGAGAGAAGAAAAGAAAAGAAAAGAGAATAACTGGAAACGCCATTAAATAAAATAAGAGAAAAGCTGAAAGAATGAAATGGAATTAAGGGAAAAAGGAAGAAAATCAAGTGAGAAAAAAGAAAAAAACGGAAAAGATGAAAAGACAAAGCAGTTAGTTGAAAAAGCAAAATGATTGTTAACAGAAATGGAAAGTCGCTCAATAATCAATCGACTTCTGTTTTAGCAAGAAATTTCATGAGCCATAAAAATAATAAAACCCTCTGTAAAAAACGTATTATAATTAAGTAATTAATAACAAATCAGGCGTCGATTCCGCCATGTTTTATAAAAATACCATATTCGCATGCGCACACGCATTTTTTTCAAATCTCGTTTTGTCTGACGGATCTCGTATTTTAAAACGTTACTGAATTAAGAAACAAAACATATTATTAATTCTTTGTATTTTTTTACAAAAATAAATAAATAAAATGAATTAGAAATTAGTTTTTACTAAAAAAATATAATGATAGGTTTCATCGAAAGATTGGCAAAGAGATTAATTAGAAGGCATGATAAAATAATATTTACACGGGACAAGATGACGTCTGTGGTGTATTTAAGAAAGAGCAAACTCGCTCTTAGTGATTTACGAGCTCAAATTGCCAAGCATGGCAAAGAAATAAATGAATAAAAACGCTGGCATTTGAGGAATATACAAACTGGACGAGTTTATCAAAACAAAAAAGAAATCGTGTGACGTAAAAATGTTTTCAAGTAGAGGAAAGCCAGTTGAAGTGGCTAAATTGGGTAAACAATTATTTTTTAGTTGAGAAAACTGACACTAAAGGCTATATTAATGGACGGGCGTATACACAGAATAATAGAAAACATTTGTTCCGATAATGGCTTTGCTGTTTAGATTACTCAACAAACTCCAATAGTAGAGGACAGGGAAATAAAGATGCAAGTTGAAGAAAAGGAAAATACTTAACCATACTGACGAAGCAAAGAAACGCGATGGTAAATATATGACACTCTCATCATTCGAGGATCAGTCAGAAATAGACAAGGCCATATACAATTTAGTTTTCTGGCCAATGAGACTCCAGGCAGTAGATATTAACTGCGGGGCAGGAACACACTGACACGTATTCCGATTTGATGGGATCCAATTTGGTTTTATGACTCGGCGCCTTGAAAGGCCAGATGCTTTCGTTGTGGAAGAGTTGCGTTGCAAAGCGGGAAATGTAAACACATTTAGCAGGAAATGTGTAAACACGTTTATAACGTTGGCTGAGAAATATTCACCAAAGAGATGACCGCAAACATTTCTGAATATCCAAAATGGTTGCCGGTATTTCGAAAAAGATTCTTCAACTTGCACAATTTGTCCACATCATCTAGTTCGTCTCTTAAAGATGATGTAAGTATTTCTTTGGTAAAACAGATGTTTATTTTTCAACATTGTCATCTTCCTTATTAATGCGTATAATAAACTGCCTTTCTATAGATCCAATATTATGCAAAACCCTGGAACTAACTGAGTCATGTTACAGATTATCAAATTATATATATATATATATATATATATATATATATATATATATATATATATTAAAAAGAAGAGGGTGCCGCAAACGTTTTTGGTTGCGGCACCCCTTTTTTAATATACATACTTTTCTCTCGTTGGAACCACTACAACATATTTCTTTTTATATATATATATATATATTAATATAATATAAGTGGTAAATATACACATACATATGCAAAATATATAAATATATATACATAGGTGCATACACATACATGTATATTTTTTGAATAAAAAATTCCGAGAGGATAGAATCCAGGTAGAATTCAATGTCCAGGACAGAGTAAGAATATAATAAAAAGGCTTAAACACTAATATTCCATAGTCAGGATTTATTCCATTGGAATCGTAAATACGATCCAATTCATCAGACCTACAAATTCAAAAAGAAAACAGAAAACCCAACTCCGGAAATAAAAACAGAATTTAGAGAGAGTGTAAGTATGAGGAGGAGGGAGATTAAACCTTAACAGAGAGAATTTTACGAGAGTTGAGTGGAAGGGGTTTAAGTAAGAGAAATATGAATTTTGTCGGATGTCTAATGCATAAAGATACATTTCGTGGTGACATACACACACCATAGACGATCTAATGCTGAAGATCAGAATAAAAGGGAGGGAAAAGGAAAGAAGAGGTGGGGGAGAGAGATGGGGCGAAGGAAAGTAAAATTGAAGGCCATTTACTTTATTATTGAAGGACATTATATATATTATATATATATATATATATATATATATATATATATATATATATATATATATATTACAATGAATCATTTATACAAAAAAAAGAATTTAGTAAAGTTAATGATATAAAATGGCGAAATCGTTTCGCAAACAAAAATTAAAGTTTCATTAACCTAATAAATCACGATGAATGTTATGATCCTTGTTTTTAATAATTATGGGCTGTATAAGGTCTTTTTTAATATGCAAGTACTTTCAACTGTACATTCACTCATCCTCAGGCATGGATATATAAAGATGTTACATACGGACAAACAAGTACTCACGAAAAAGACGCATTTTTGTTTCGGTGCGAATGCTTCTCGACTGGTGATATCTATCTATCTATCTATCTATCTATCTATTAAATTGGGCAGTATATATATGATAAAGAAGTAATTATTCAAAGAATTAATTCGCAATGTTAATGTGATTAACGGCGAAATCATTTCGCTAACAATTATCAATTCTTTCATTTAAATTATATCACTTAGCATCTTCCATAATTTACCTTGACTTTTCAGTTAGCCTCGTGAATATTTATGAACGTTCTTAAATTTAAACATTTTGAAAAACTGATATTTTCTTTTTGTTTATAAATACTTGTTACAAAATAAAATCCTTACATTTGTCTTGATAAAGTCCACCAGAGGACGAAACTCGTCGGTTAAGATAAGTTTTCTTTTTGCCTTTATTCATATTGTCCTGTTATACTTATATTTTTAGTGAGATCTGAAAATTTACAGGCATATATATATATATATATATATATATATATATATATATATATATATATATATATACATCCTTGTGCAAATTAATTGAAACAAAACGAATAATTCTATTATTATTTACTTTTTCCTTTGTATTTTTCCAATGAAACATGACCCAGTGCACATGTTAGTACTTCCTATGTCCTTTCCACGGTCTTTCCGATTGATCACAGATTCTCAATTTAATTTAAATCAGGACACTTTCCGTGCCAGTCGATACTACTTTGATTTGCTCACTGGTAATGTTCCTTGGGGTAACGTCCATCGCAGACCATGGCCGTAGGACAACTAATCGACAATCAAGACAATAGTATCTAGGCGTGATAAAAATATGATGCAATCACGGACGACGCAATATTTTTCCAGGCGAAACAAATTTCATCATACATCATTCATGGTGAAAGAAAAGAAATTAACGCGGCTGATGGAATTAATTTGCACAAGGGTGTATGTCAAAGACTCTAGCTGGACCAAGGTAGCACCAGCGAGTTTATTATAGGCACTAATCACTCAAATGTCCGTGCTGGTTGTTTCCCAAAATACATGAAGATTCCTGCCCTCATTTTGGGGCTGAACAAAAATAATACCCACAGAAAATGCAGACGGAGGATAGCCGGTCTTCAATAATAAGTGAGATAAAAGAGACAACTTGCACGAGTCTTAAAAGCGTTATTTACCAGAAATAACCTGGTTGACCATTTTTGAAACACATGACCTTTGCTATGGTCATATCCACATACACACGGTTGCAGACACACATGCAAACGCCCCCCCAATCAAAGCTATAGACATTCGAGCACTTTGAGTAGAAACAAGCTCTCACACCGACATCGACACGGCTTATAGTCACACCAGGTTGAAACACCGGATCACAGCCAATCACCGAAGTTAAGCCACGTGAAGCCTGGCCAGCACCTAGATGGGTGACCGCTTGAAAATACCAGGTGCAGTAAGCCTGGATGCGCGGGTGGAGTAATGGAATTGAATTTTTAATCGGAGAGCCGAGTACCAATTCCCATCGGCTTTTTAATATTCACTTTCGCGCAAATAATTTTAGGAAAGGTAAAAATCCACCTCTTCATCCTCCGGCTAGCAGTTAATTAGTAAGACTTGTAAACTATTATTATCTGAAAACATATTACAATCTAAAAACATTATCTATCTTTAAATAACCTATAAAGGGTTGATAATCCGTAGAAAATGAATAAATCTATCCATCTACTCTCATACACACTAAAATGCACATATTTCATCTACATATTTAAAAAAAAATGTTCTAATTAAACATTAGTGTTTTTCGTCTTCAACTACCTGGGGATTTTAGAGGCAAAAGTAAAGCTTAGTTGGAAGCTTTAACCCCACCACCACCTCCACCACCTCCACTCCCACCAACAGGAAGGCCACCACCAACATCAACAATAATTAGAATAATCTATTTAACTTTTGAATAGGATTGTTTTTACCTTTCTTTTTTTTTTTAAAAAAAAAGTACATGAAGATGAACGCCTACAGTTAATTTACTAGTTGCTTGTTCCTTAATCTCGTCTGGAATGATGTCCTACTAAGGTCTGCATCGATTTCTGCAGGATTGAAGATTTATCTCCCTTTATCTGATCTTATCGGGTGTAAAAGCCGAAAAAGGAAATGATTAACATCAAGATGGCGACAGGAAGACTTTCACCGGAAGCGGAATAGTAAAAACAATTAACGCTTTTATTCCACCATAAAAAGAAACGTCGCTTGCAAGAAATATTGTAGCCATTTTATTTCTGCAATGACGTTTTTTTTTGTTTTTTTTTATGCCACTGTGTAAAGGACTGATTCATATCTTGTCACAAATAATTCATAAGTTTGGTCATTATTGTCTGCGGTGTCTCTTCCACAAGTATTTGAACAATTTGGACACACACACAATAAATGCTCATATAAAGTGACAAAGACAAACGCATATGTGGGCACATAAAAGTACTTCTTATATATGCATAGATATACATATATACTTGTATGTATTCCCAAAGGACGGCAGACGAAACATTATTGCTATAGAAGGCAAGGTTTTTGGGAGAATAGACATAGATTGGAAAATTTTTGATAAAATGTTTGTCATAGTTTAACATACGTACCGGAAAAAAACAAAAAAACGTTGTGTTAAAATGGACATTTATTCTTTATAACGATATTACCGTATTCACTCGGCAACTTTCATTGTTTAAAAAAAATGACGAGAAAAATATTAAAAAATATTTTTTGTAAATAAAGAGTTTAATGAATAAAATGAGTTTATAATTTTTGTTGACAATTTCCGAGAAAAAAAGATGTAACTACATCAGTGAATGTATGCGGCGATATCTATCTATCTATCTATCTATCTATCTATCTATCTATCTATCTATCTGATTCTATTCATGTCTATCTGATTCTATTCATATCTATCTATCTATCTATCTATCTATCTATCTATCTATCTATCTGATTCTATTCATATCTATCTATCTGATTCTATTCATATCTATCTATCTATCTATCTATCTATCTATCTATCTGATTCTATTCATATCTATCTATCTATCTATCTATCTGATTCTATTCATATCTATCTATCTATCTATCTATCTGATTCTATTCATATTCTATATCATCTATCTGATCTCTATTTCTATTGATTCTATTCATATCTATCTATCTATCTGATTCTATTCATATCATATCTATCTATCTATCTATCTATCTGATTCTATTCATATCTATCTATCTATCTATCTATCTGATTCTATTCATATCTATCTATCTATCTATCTGATTCTATTCATATCTATCTGATTCTATTCATATCTATCTATCTATCTATCTGATTCTATTCATATCTATCTGATTCTATTCATATCTATCTATCTATCTATCTGATTCTGTTCATATCTATCTGATTCTATTCATATCTATCTATCTATCTATCTATCTATCTATCTATCTATCTATCTATCTATCTATCTGAGTTTTCATACATATATGTATGTATACTTCTGAAGCCTAATTTATTATATCACACGTCTTATCGAGAAAATATTTATTAGAGAAGATTTAATTGTAGTAGTTGCCCAAATCTGGTAGCCCTGACTGCCTTGAAAAGCCACGTTCGAAAGGTGGGCTTTTTACTTCCCCACCCCCTTGCCTCCGTTTTATATAGTCCACCATTTCAGTCACCACGAAAGATACTATTAAGCCCTCTATGCATCTCTCTACCAAACTGTCTTTCAACCGATATATCTCACTTTGTTTGTATCTCTCTAAACTTATCGTATATTCATTATATAAAAGATAGATAGATTGTCAGATAGATTTGTACATCCGTGTTCATATATTAGCGTGTTTGTGCATATTTTCTGTGTCTCCCACCCAAACAGTTTATCTTACTCCGTGCCTGGGGCTTGCCTTCTCCGATCCACCACCTAAATTCAATAAGCTTTTAAAAACACACAAAAGCCAAATTAAGGTCCATTCAACGTTCGCGCCCACCAATTAAGTAGTAAATTCAGCCTATCGCTTCTTCCTTTTCATAAACTACTCAGGTGTAAACAGGTTTTGAAAGGAAGTCTAAGTTTTCCACTCATCCCGTGCTTAGTGGAAACTGGACGGGTTTGGAACACAACTGGCAGAGTTCCGATCATTCCTCCTTCGCCTTGTTCACTATCATTTCAACAATTTTCTTGTTTATGTCTTATTTTGAAGCTATACAGTTTACTTGATTATCCATATAATGTCATAGATGTTCAGAGTGTGATAATCGTCTAGGCACACAAACGCATACATACACACCTCATATATATATATATATATATATATATATATATATATATATATATATATATATATATATATAATTATTTATTTTAAATAAATAATTATAAATTTTAAATAAATAATTATATTTATGCTCTACTTTCTATCGAGCCCAATTTTTTAAAAAGAATAACTAAAATACTAAGGGACTTTGGATTATTTACCTAACCAGTTCCTTCTTATTTTCTATATATTTTCACATATATATATATATATATATATTTATTAAAGACATTTTTATGTTTAACGTTGTTATTTATAGATACAAGTATTTAAGCAAATGCTCTGTTTATGATAAACAGTATTAAATAACATTTACCGGCCTGAATGTCCGAGAAATTTTCATAGAAAATATTCGTTCTTTGAGAGGATTCGAACCTGCATCCTATACGGAACCGTCATTTACGCTGACGTGCCTTACCTCTGGGCCACAAAGAACAAAAAAAAAATTCTTTAATAAATAAATTGTCGGACCTTGTCCATTTCTTAATATATGACGTCATTTGTTTACATTTGATACGCCAGAGCAGTTATGAATGTACGAGATTCAGGGAAGATTGAAGTTTATAAGCAGTAAATTCGACCTTGTCTACCGAAAAGGTTCTTTGTGGCCCAGAGGTAAGGCACGTCAGCGTAAATGACGGTTCCGTATAGGATGCAGGTTCGAATCCTGTCAAAGAACGAATATTTTCTATGAAAATTTCTCGGACATTCTGGCCGGTAAATGTTATTTAATACTGTTTATCATAAACAGAGCATTTGCTTAAATACTTGTATCTATAAATAACAACGTTAAGCATAAAAATGTCTTTAATAAATAAATTGTCCGGCCTTGTCCATTTCTTTATATATAGTGGGGGGAAACAAATTTTTTAGTTTATTGTATTTCCAACTAATGAATAAACATTCTTTTCATATAATTAACTGTACAAAGATTCATAATAACTAAATATGCATAGAAAACAGAAAAGAAAATTAATAGAAATAAATTCCATTTATACATTTGGTGAAAAAAGTATTCGTACAATGCAAATTTCAGTTGTAAAAAATGTTAAATTGCTTTAATACTTTTGATTATTCAAGTGGAATATTCTAGAATGTTCCAATAATGTCATCAGTAGTTATTTTCAACCTAAAATATGCAAACAGAACATTCTGTAATTGTTATTCGTGCAAGAAGTTTATTATCATGGCCAGAGGTAAAGAATTGACAAATTTACAAAAAGAAATGTTTGTTAAGCTCTGGAAAGAAGGTAAAAGTTACGGGAAAATCTCAGACAACTTGAATATTCCATTTACTACCATTAGTTCATTCATTTCAAAGTAAAATAAAAACAATCCTGAAAACTGTTGAAAACCAAAGAAGAACAGGTGCTCCACAGAAGATTTCTTCAAGATCTTCGAGGAAATGCATCAAATTAAACAAAATCCAATGGTTACTCGTCAAGAGTTACAGAATGATTTGCTTTCATCAGGAATCTGTGTCACTAAACGGATAATAAGCAATGAAATTCATAGGAACAATCTAAAAGCACGTTCCCCTTGGAAAATTTCACTGCTATTGAAAAGACGGAGATACCAGGTTGAAATTCGTTCGTGAACCTGAGAAGAAGGAAAATCCTATTGGGAAGGAGTATTATGAATAGACAAAACTAAAATTGAAATCCTCTATGGAGGAAAAATGGCGATGCCTTCAAACAAAAGAACACGTGAAATTTAGTGATGGTACCATCGTAGTTTAGGGATTTCTGCAAAAGGTACCAGCAATATATCAATAGTAGATGGTGAAATGAATGCCGCAGCATATCAAAATATTTTGGAAGCAAATTTAATGATTTCGGTTGAAAATCTTGAATTTACTCTTGATTTGATCTTCCGACAAGATAATAATCCTAAGCACACTGCAAAATCTCCGATGAAATGACTTGTCGAAAATAATGTAAATATCCTGAAATGGCCAAGTCAGTCCCCAGATTTAAACCTAATCGAGAATCTGTGGCGTTATTTGAAAATTCAAATCCAATCGAGAACTCCGACAAACATCCTGGATCCGAAGACCATATGGAAAGAAGAAAGGAATAAAATAGCAACTAAAATTCGCAAATTATTAATGGAGA